ATATATATATATATATATATATAGGTGAGATCCGTTGAAAACTCATAGTTTTTCGAGAACCTGATAACTAAAGGTGGAACGTTAGATCAAAGTAATCTCATTAAGGACTTGAACGTCATATTAACAATCTCATTTAATGTTCAGTTTTTTGTGTTATTGAAAATATTAATAAAAATGTCTTAAAATTAACATAATAAATCAAATTTTTCATATTTTTTTTAAATAAAATTTTTCGATTTTTAAAAAAAATGCAGATTTTTTTTTGGAAAACTTTAATTTTAAAAAAATGAAAAAATATATATTTAAAAAAAACTGCAATTTTTTAAAAAACTGTAAATTTTGAAAAAAAAAAAGACTGAAATATATATAAGAAAAATTATAATTTTTTAACCAAAAAAATCAACGTTTTAAGTTCATATATGCATATATTCAAGTACATGTATGCATCTTTCTTATACTATAATATTCGTAAGTAATTATATAAAAAATCCATTTTTATTTAATAATCGATAAACACAATAGTACAAGTATTTTATTCGATACAAAATAAAATATAAACAAACAAAAAATACTACAAAATTTCAAAGCGTTTTCATGTCTTCATGTCAAGATTCCATATTTTCTTTAATTTATCACTTTTCACATCTTCAATATTTTTCACAAATTCTTCCAAATTTATAAGAAAAAATTTAAAAAAAAATAATAATTAATGTAAGAAAACTCACAAAAATACATGTATGCATATAGACGTAATTCATATGTGATTCTGTGATTTATATACGAATCACATGTAATTGATATGAGATTTATTTGTGAATTACATGTGATTCATATGTGAATTACATGTGAATCACATGTAATTAATATGGGATTCACTTGTGATTTACATGTGAATTAGATGTGATTTACATGTGAATCACATGTAATTCGTATGTGAATCACTTATGATTTACTTGTGAATTACATGTGATTCATATGTAAATTACATATGAATCACATGTAACTCATATGTGATTCA